CATAACACGGATGAACTTACCAACATGCAGGCAATACACACATACACATTAAAATTTTAAAAAGGAAGAGCTTAAGAGATATGAGGACTAGTTTTCAAAAGTGGAAATATTTTACAGACCCTCTTTTTCCTTTCCCCTCCCTGTCTCCCTCCTTCGATTTCTCCCTTTCCTTCCTCGTCTCCTCCCTGTTTCTCTCCTTCCCTCCTCTCTCTTTATTAACCCCCACTGATAAAATCATTGTGTTAATACCCAGGACAGGACACTTCTGTATGAAAGTACTTAAGCATAACTGAAACAAAAATTTCATGAATAATAAAACACACTCCAATTCCTCTTTCCCCGATGCACGTAACAATAACCTACCAGACTAATTTTAAAAACCACTCTTGGAAAACAACCTACAGTTTGAAAAACATTAGTTGCTAAGCAGAATTCCAGATGTGAAGAGAGAAAGAATGGGGTGGAGGGAACCTTTGGGAAGTCTGTCACACAAGCTTCACAAGGGGTGAGCCCTTGAGGTTATCTGTGAGCAGCAGGCAGGAGACAGACAGCAGCCTCAATACTTGTATCCTCCCTTAGAGACCTGTGCTCAGTGCCCAGGTAAGGCCAGAGCCTTGACTGTGCCACAGAAAACAATTTCAGGATGAGCCAGGCTGAAGGGAAAATTAATAAGTTTATTAACTATTTAGACAGAGAGTCATTGCAGGACAAGACATGGTTTCTCAGGAGAACATTGCACTTAGGTCTTTTTGTTTTTGTTTTTTGGAGACAGGGTCTCAGTATGTAGACCAGGCTGTCCTTGGAACTCACAGAGATCCACCTGCCTCGGCCTCTGCCTCCCAAGTGCTGGGATTACAGCTATGCACTCCCACATCTAAGAATTAAAAGTAAATCTAAATCCAGCTTTATATGTAGGGCTGAGAAAGGACGGCTGACTTGGTAAAACTCAAGGTTACAAGCCTTTTGGCCTCCTGAAAGCATATTTTCTCGTCTCTGAAATCCTTGTCTGGGCTGCATTTACGGAAACATGTATTATCTCTCTAGGCAACATTGGCTTTATCAGGCGTGTTGAAGTTTCTTGACTCTCAGTCAGCAGGAAAGATCCTAGGATAAAGGGCTTGTCCCCATGCTCACATCTCTTTAATTTTCTGTCTTTCTGTCCTACCTCAGTGTGTTACAGTAGCAAAAAAAGAACACCCCCCCCAAACCCGCAAATCCCTTAAAACTGGTCAAGAGTACAAGATTCTCTGGCCTGGATATAGATCCAACTTTCCAGTTTCTCCAGATAAGCCCGCTCCTACCCCATCATGAGACCACCCTAGGAAGGTGGGTTCACTTTAAATCATCCTAAAGAGATGGGCAGAATCCCTAGCGTGTTAAGGAGATGGTGAACTTTCCTGCCTAGAATCCCCGCCTTTTAGCTCAGGTCTCATGACACTCACAGACTCGGGCTGTCAAGAAGTCTTTAGAAAAGCAAACCTCTCCCTTTCTTCTTCATACCTCTGTTCTGACCATGCTTTTCCTAACGCTTTGGGCTAAATTTGGGTTTCCTCGCCTTTTTCTTTCTCTGGTCTTTTGAGACAGGGTCTCCCTGTAGCCCCAGCTGGCCTGGAACTCACTATGTAAACCAGGCTGGCCTTGAACTCACAGAGATCTGCCTGCCTCTGCAGAGTGGTGGGATTAAAGGCGTGTGCCACCATGCCCGGCTTCTTTACCTTTTTCTATTAACCTCCCTCCCCTCCCCCCATGTAGCTGCCAGTCCTCCCGCAGGCTGTCTGTCTGACCTCCATGAGGGCTCTAAATCAACATGGTTTCATGGCTTTTTTCCTTCTATCCTCCATTCTCCTGCTCAAGGCAGCTGCTGAGATTTATAGCCTGCTTGCCTTGGGGATTTTTCCTTAAATTTTAATAAAATTTCCCTAAAGGTTCTGCTTGAATCCATTTCTAAATTCTTTTCTGAATGAGACTTTGAATCTTCTGGGGTCGGGGCCCTGTATCTCCCCTGTATCCAATGCTAATTGATGTAAACTAGGCATAGAAGGACTTCCTGGTTGACTGTGATTCCACTTGTAACAAGTCCCTAGAACAGTCAACTTCAGAGATGGAAAATAGAAGGATGGTCGCCAAGGGCTGGGGCAGAGGTAAGGGACTTAAATGTTCAAGAGATTGAGAGTTTTGCAAGACGAAAGTTTGGGGAATGGGTGATGGTGCTGGCTGTAGGCATTGAATATATTCTGTACTGCTGGGCCGCACTCTTAAAAATGGCATGAGGGAAGTTCTGAGTTAGGTGCAATTTACCATAATAAAAAAAAGTAAAATTAGAGGCCGAGGAGGTAGCTCAGTTGGTAGAGTGCTTGGTTAGCATGCATGAAGCCCTGCGTTTGATCCCCAGCACCACAGAAACTGGGTGTGCTAGTGCACACCTGGAATTCTAGCACTCCTCCAGAGCTGGAGGCAGGAGGATCAGAACTTCAAGGTCATCTTAGGCTACAAAGTGAGTTCAAGGCTAGCCTGGGATACATGAGACCCTATCTCAAAAACTAGAAAATAAACAAGCAAACAAACAAAAAACCCGAGTAAGACTAAACTAAGAAACATAATGTCTGAGCCTGATAAGAAACATCCAAGCAGCTCATTTTAGGAAGTTCAAGAATTCAAGGCTGGACAGATTCAGACAGTCCTGTGGAGCAGATACATAGAAACAGGTCGGAGGATGGGACTGTCACCTGACTCCTGCAGTGATCCTGGTGCAGGGGGACCATGGGCTCTATCTTCACCATGCTAAAAGAACAGCTGCCACTCAGCAAGCCACAGAATCTTTGAAGAACAAGGAGAAAACAAAGTCATTTGCGGGTGACAAAGAACAATAAGAGTTTGCGTCAACAACCCTCAAAAACAAAAACAAAACCAGAAAACTTAACAGTGCCCTTCAGACACAGGGAGGGATTGCAGTGGTCTCAGCTGAGATGTGTGGCTGAGTTGAATGGAAAAAATAATTTTGTACGTCTCATGGAGTTGGAAAGGAGGATGAAACTTAATGAACATCATAATTAAGGCATATAGTTGAAGGGCCAGCAAGTAGAGTGAAAATAAAGTCCTTATACCCTAAGGGAGGGAGCAGGGTAAAAATATTTTGAAAACTAGACTTTCATAAGTACGAATGTTGAAAATCTAAAGTAAGCCCTAAAACAACACGGCTATGGCACAGAAGGAAAGAAAGACAGATGGAGAGAGAAAAGAACCCAACCCTACACAACCAAGAAAGGAGAGGGGAAAGAAAAGGGCAGATCAAATAGGGTTAATCACGCAAGGTGGCACAAATATTTAACGGAAATTCCCAGAAAAACCTTGTGTCTTCAAACTGAAATGTCTTCTGCAAGGCTGAGCAACTGCTTAGCGTTCCAGAGATTGTGGAGAGTCTGGAATGCTGCAGGTCCAGAGCCTGATTACCACATTCTCACACTACCCTTAGCTCCTAAATAGCCAGCCTTGCTCACCTTTCTGACTTAGCATCCTCTGACTAACAGATAAAAAAGCCTTTTGAAAGCTATTTATTAGCAGACCACCAGTTCCCACCAACCCAAAGGCTAAGAATGTCATCAGAAAGCATCTGAGATCTGTGGTAGACTTCCTCCCCGCTTTGCCACAATCCAGCTACTGAATGTGGCCACTAATATTTGAAAAGTGTGTTGATTTATGACTTTCTTTGCTCTGTTACTATAAAAAGTTCATGAAGTTTCTACCTCATTGGAACATGGTATTTGGGGAAACCTAAATCTGTGTTCCCATGGTCACTCATATTTGACTCCAGAATAAATCATCTTTTATCCCTTTGAGGTGAGAGCTGTTTATTTCGATGACAAAATAAATCTGGACATATCTGTAAATATAATAAATATAAATGGACTAGATGCACTAACTAAAAGACAAAGATTATTCCTAAAAATTTTTATTATGAAAAATTTCAAGTATGAAATAGATGCAAAATACTCATATTTTTGCTATGTACAGTCAACCATTATGAACAATTGGTCATGTTTGTTTCATATATGTATGTTTGTTGCTGTGGCTGTTGAGAAAATCCAGTGTACACAATATACACTATATAACAAAATACTAGTTAAATGCTAATAAGGGTGTAGAGTGTTTTTTGGGTTAGTCAGCCGGATCTAAGTTCTCAGCCACTTTTAATCATGTAATTTATTTGTGGAACCCATTTATTCCCTCCAATAGGTGCTAGCTAGAGGGTGTGAATTTGGTCGTTTTTCTGATTTTTGTATTTCTAAATATTTCTTGCATAAACAATGGTATCTATTAGTAAACGGTTTGGCACGATGCTTGCTGCTTGGTAAACATTTAATGCAGAGTAGCTTTTATTTATGAGTTACTGAAAGCATTCAGTGGAGTGGCACAAAATCAGCAAACAATAATTGCTAGATTATATTTATAATGATTATTTATGAACTGTCACAGTGCCTAGCACACATCACCCGTAAACATCAAGTTTATAAGAATAATAAGTACTTTCATTATTATTCAGTCTCAGCAGAGCCTGGCACCACACGTGCAACAGGAAAGTGGAAGTTTATTCTTGTTAATTATTATTATTAAGTAAAGCACTTAACAACAGCTTTCCCCTCAGGCACTTAATAAATAGTCTTGGTGGGACTGCGCGAAGCCCCGCCCCCTCCGACCCGAAGCTCCGCCCCTCGGCCCGGGCCGCGCCTGCGCAGGGCTGCGGACCGGTGCGCATGCGCAGTCTTCCTTCGGCGTCTGCCGCCGGCGCCGGCCTCTTCCCACTGCCGGAGCCCGGCAGCTGCCGCGTGCGTACGAGCGTGCGTGCGTGCGTCGCGCCGTCGTGCGTGCGTGCGTGCGTGCCGGGAGTTTGCCGGCTGCCGCGGCCTCGCCTTCCGCCCCTGCGCCCGCGCCGCC